CGATTACTGATTTAACGTATAATATTATATATATATATATATATATATATATATATATATATATATATATATATATCTTCTACAAATAATCTTACGTAAATGTATCTTTTAAAATGTAATTAACATGATAGTATGAACGCTAGAATGGATTATAAATAAAATGTTTATAAAAATGTTCTGAAGTAATGAAGGGATGATTTATCTGATAGTACTAATCAGAATTTATTTTGGATTTGTATTTAGGATTTCGTTTCTTAAGAAAAAAAAATCAAATAGTTTTTTTTTATCGGAGTGCATTATCATTCATTCATATTTATAGTAGATTAAAAAAAAAATGTTCTTACATCGACTTTTATATTCAGAAATAAATAAATCTAATCGATTTAATCATTCTTTAGACTGGAAACAAATATTGATACTTTATCGCAAGAAACTGCGTTGTTTAGGAGTGATTTGTGTTTAATTATTAATTAAACAGTTATGTTTTAATATGATATACTTATGTATTTATCATATCGAGGTCATTAATGTTTAATATTTCAATAATTCTAATATTATATCAAAGTAAATAAATTTATGTTATCATAATTTACCTTTTTCTAATTCTATTTTGATTTTTTATAATATACATATACATATACATATATATATATTATAATATATATATATATATATTAATATAAATTATAATATATATATATATATTAATATATATATATTAATATAAAAGAATATATATATATATATATTCTTCGTATTCATTACACATTCAATACACTATAGTTTACTGAATAAAATTTATAGCAATATTTATAAACATATAAAATTCACAGTGAATATTATAGAATAATTATAATGAAATAAATTTTAGAATTAAGTAATAATATTTTGATTAATTGCTACTATTGTAATATAAATTCATTTTGTTAGTTAAATAGCTGCTGTAATTTCTCGTAATGTTTTGAGGTAATTTTATATATATTTGGGCATTGCTGTACATTACTATAGTTGCTTTATTGCTTAGAATGTTATTGCTTATATACGATTATTTTGTCGTTTGATCAAAACTGAAGCAATTTATCTGAATACAAAATTAAAATTCCCATGACAACATTAATCCTGATTAGGAAATGGATATACTCTTTCATTATATTGTTCTTCTTTATAAAGAAATATACCATTATTGAAAAGAATATCGTATTAAAACATCAACATCAATTTATTAAAATTAAAGTACAAATTCCAAGATAATAACTAATTATATTTCTGAATAGTATAGAAAATTTACATAATCAAAGCTTTATATTTTATATATTCATAAGAGATGAGGATTCGATTGATTTTTAATACAGCTCTAGCTATACAAATAATGTATAATAATTTATTATAAAGTTAATCATTGTCAAGTTAATGATTTATAAAGTATTGTATTTATAAATAAAATAACACATTAAAAATTAATGTATACATTTGGAGTTATATGTTGAATAATTGAAAATAGTGTATTAGTAAATGCAGTAGAACAAACCCAATGCCATACTAAAAATTCCAACACTTGAGAAAATCTGAGGAAGAAGCTACTTAAATCTCATTTCAAAGGAACAATTCAAGGTCGTCGTGATCAATTTTTTCATAAAACGTGAACTACAAGCAATGATAACTTTTGAATGCTTTTTGTAATCCTCTACAATAAGAAATATTTCACAGCGTATTGAAAACAGAAATTACATCAATTCTGAAAATACGTAGTGGTTTTTTTTATTAACAATTTAAACATGATCAATTATATAATAATAAACCGAATCTTGATTATAATAAATTATAATAAATTGAAATAGAAATGGTTCGATGAAATTTGAATTAATCGAAGAGTTTAACAGTTTGATTGTTATACTATAAATTTACATTCAGCTACATTATATTGTTATAAAATGTCTTTTTGATATTTCTTATTGATATAAAAAATTTCTCATCAATAATTCAAATAGATCATAACTCATTGAATTTTTACAATTCATTTTACCATCCTTTACAAATAATTTTGGCTTTTCATTAGCGCTGTAATTTATAAATTTAAAATAGTTTGACTTAGTCAAATATATATATATATATATATATATATATATATATATATATATATATATAATTTATTTAATACAATGTCAAGATTTATGATCATTCATTTCTTACAATAAGCAATTTGCTCTTGTAATCCATCAGTATATAGTTTGACTTGGAAGATAAATAATAATTCATTTATTGTTATAAGAATCGTTGTGTACGAGTGCTTTGTAAATGGAAAAATAAATGAACAGAGGCATTGTCAGAATTTATTGTAATTATTCGTTTTCATCAAGAACATTTATTTTGTATACCATGCCACGTTCTGCGAGCACTTCGATACGCATAATGAATTTTTATATAGCCAATTTTAATGTCATGGACAATTACTATGCTATTTGCACTTCTCGTTATTGAATAGCCAAAAGTAAGTTGCACAACAAAATTTTACGATCGTATCTTTCTTTAAAATTATTAGCTTTAAATTTTACTTGTCTGTTCGCAATGCAATAAATGTAATTCAATCATAAATTCACATTTATCACGACTATTTATTTGATACGTACGTAGATATTTTTCAATAATGAAAATTGTATTTATGTATAAGTATGTTTGAATATGACACATATTTTTCCGTTAGAAAATAACGCCACGCCATCTAATTGTTTTGTGTTATAAAAGAACATAACAAAGCCTCTCTGTGTTATTATAAATTATTTTCACTAATACAGTTAACATTCTTACTTATATTTTCAATATTTTAATTAAAGTAATAAATAATATAGAAAATTAGTATTTCAGATTTAACGAGGAAATTTTCTCGATGCTCATAATAAGTAATTAATAGTTATTTATGTTAAAAAGAATAAATGATGTATACAAAATTCGTAGAGACCTGAAAACCTTTAAATAAATATTACCAGCGAATTTTCATTCTCAGTTGTATATATAAAATTCAAAAGCCCTCGTTTCGTATACCGCACTGCATAATTCAATATAAAATTATAATATTAGTGAGCACCGTTATTCAAGAAGAGAGGTTGCTGCTACCTATATTGACATTGCTCGCAGGTTCCTTGTCTCGTAATATATATCAGGGTCATATAGCCTTTCCTTAATTTTTTTTTTTTTTTTTTTTTTTTTTTTTTTTTTCTTTTTAAGGATGTATTCACAATCGTAATCATTAATTTTCAATCTTCATCAAACTATCATACTACATCGACTATCAACATAGTCGTTGATCTCGATTAGAAAGAAAAATAGAAGAAAAAATAATATCTTTTATTATTCCTACTAAGTTAAGGATTTCGTTGACAATTCAATTATATTTTTAATAAAACTTTCTCATTTTGTGAAATATATATTGGAAAATATTATGAAAAAAATTGTAAAATCATTAATTTAAAGTAAAAATGTTTTCCAATAAAGGCGACAAATTTTTTTTTTTTATATGTTACAACCACTACTAATTAAACGGAGGTAATAAAAATAAATACTCTAATACAAACAATTTTTATTATTGTATTAATAACGAAATTGTAAAATTTCACAATTATGTATAAAATTCTTTATATAACAATACGGATAGTGATACGTAAAGAAATAATTGTTTACTTAATTTTAATTCCATTGATTTAAGTAAAATCATTTTGCATTATATATTTTCAAATATTTAACGTGTGCTTAATTTATATATATATATATATATATATATATATATATAATTAATATTAATGTATAGATTAATTTAATAACTGATACATCAAATTAATTTCCTTATGTGTTTATATGTATATATAGGTATATGTATATATATGAGAAATATGATATTCCAGATTAGTATGTATGTAAAATGAAACTATTAAAATAATGATGCAAAAAGTTGAAATTTTATAGTTGTGGTACGGCGGGTAAAATTATACATAGTCTTTCGTGCGCATAAAAGCTTATTTTTCATTGTGACTCAAAATCTAATCTCAATGCCAAGACAGTAATAAATATCCTAGATAAAGCTGCTCCGAATTTTCTATCCAAACTCTAGCTAATTGTCCTTTCATAAATGACGGCACATGCATTTCAATAATACCAATACGTATATGAAAAAATCATCTATCTCGTTTGAATGAATCATAAAAAAAAAAAGAAAAAAAAGTTAGTCACCTATTTACAATTGTTATTGTGAAATTTCATTGGCTCTTCCAGACGTTCGTTTAAAATCTATAATCTTTCCGATAGCTGTGCATAACGGCAGTATAAAAGTCACAACGTCTCATGCATATAGTGTTTATCGAGGTGCCAAATTATATAAAATATGTAGTGAGAAATTTTCTATATAAAAAAAATATCGATTATAAAGTTTGCAACATTTTATACCTTAAATTATGCTTCGATGATGCATTAATCAATTTTTTATTTTCATATGCATTTTATGAAAGATTAATAGATATTGATATTGAAATTTTAATGTACTTATATTTTATTAATGCTGTAACAGATTTGATTTTGCGTATACGTAAGAGATATAAAAAATATAAAAATAATTTTAAAAACAAACATTAATTCCCATTAGAAAGTAATGCTTTTAAAAAATTAATTGGGTATTAGGGACAACTTTTCGTTTTCTCTTCGTTTAATTATAGCAAATTATTTTTATTGCATTAATGCATTAATTATAATGTGAAATGTAATTTAAACTGTACATATAGATATATAATTAAAATTATGATTATATATTGCTTTGTTTGAATTGCTTTTTGCGTGCCTTATTTCACAAACAAAATACTTTCAATTCTATTTTTAATTTGTATTTTTTTTTTGTTTTTTGGTTTTTTTTTTGTTTTTTTTTTTGTTTTGGTTTTTTTTTGTTTTTTTTTTGTTTGAATCACAGATATTCATAACAAGTTAATAAGATTTGGAAACAACTTTTCGCATGCACCAGGTGGTAGAGGAAAAATAATAAAAATGATGTTGCTCAAAAATTGTTTTTTGAGGATAATCAAGGATTTTCAACAGAAGAAATTAATGCCTCTTAAACTCATATTTTTTGTCCAAAGTTCAAGTAAGTATAATTATTCTTTAAATACTTGTTTTCAGAAATTAATAATCAAAGTATGTTCATTATACATAAAAATAAACATCGATATATCACAACTGTTAAATTCCATGAAAGAACTTGATTATTTATTGTTTTATTTTATTTTATTTTATTTTTTTTTTTTTTTTTTATTTTACAATTTTTACAGCTCTATTTATACTGTATCCCTATCTTACTATACACATGAGAGAATTAGGAATTAACGTAGAAGAAACTGCTATTATGAGTGCGATTATTCCAGTTGTGGGAATAATAATGCCTCCGGTATCAGGAATGATAGCTGATCGAATCGGAAATTTTAAGGTGAGTTTAATAAAAAACAAATTTTAATTGTTACATAAATTTAATTTACGACTTTCGTAAATTTAGTTAAAAATATCATTATAAATGTAATTACAAGTTTGTACTGTTATATTTAATAGTTTTTACTTATGCATTAATGAAGCCTATGATTAAGAAATTATATTCAAGCCATCGACACTGAAACATCACTACAATAAAATACTTATTATTTACATATATAAACATTTTCTGAAAAATAGATAAATATTATATACGTATTTCTTATGACTTTGTTTTTATTGATAAAATTCATTATCAATGATGCTAAAATTCTTCAAGAAATATTAAATTGAAAATTTGTCAGTATTCAAAACGTCTAATTGTAAAATTGTCAATTATAAGATTGTAAATAAATTTATAGAAAATTGAAATGGATTTATTACATATAAATTAATTATATGAAATTAATTATTGATCTCATGATTTAGTAAATAATTCATTAGCTTATTAGCAATTGGAGCTGACAGTGAATGTTCGTCGTGTTATTTTTCAATTGAATTTCGTTGGATGAAAATTGCATTAAAATAATATGGAAAAGCGATTTTAATTTGTTAATCTGAAATTCTATAAAATAATCTAAATTAAATTAAAGCTTATTCCACTTTTTGGGGATTTATTATAAAATCTAACTATTGACTCATAAATTTAGTTAAAACCATTTATCTACTCCTTTCATATTTTCATACTATATTTTCATTTCCAACGAATCGAAGCCAAAAGTATGTCAATTCCTAGAAAACATATATACGCATATATACGTAACTGATCATTATGACAAATAAAGTAGTCGACGCATTGAAAGTATTATGCTCCGCTTTAAGTTTTACTTACATGGAGTTAATAAATATGCTTTCGGGACTTGATTTGAAAAGTAAAAATTGAGAAGAAAAAACTAAGGTTATACGCGTTTATATTATAATATATTAAATTTCGTCAATACAAGTATTCGACGAAAGCTAAAAGATGCCTTGTTTTTGGCGATATCGCTTGCAACAGATCCTCCTCTCGCTATTCTCAGCTCTTGGTGGTACCGCGGCACTCCTGCTGCTTCTTGTCCCAGTCGGTCGTGTGAATATCCAATTCCCGGACAACGTCATCCTCGGGGTGAGTTGTGACAGCTCCGGCAACTCCGTGTATACCATGAGCCAGAGCCATCCTTGCGACACCATCCCGAGCCCCAATATCAATGCTACTTTGCAGAGTTGCGGGTAAGTGTTTATCTCCAAAAATGGCTTTTGTCTAACTTCAGATTAAAGTGACTTTTCGTAAGAAAAATCACGAATTCCACTTTTCTGGGATCGACTGTTTTTATCAATTTTTCTAAGAGTCTTTAAAGAGATAAATTTAATAAAATAACAAGACCGATTGTTTTCCAACTGAAATTATCGATTATGTGTTCGTAAGGAAGTGTAGTTTGTTGTCTCGAGCGGATAGAGACAAATAGTATATTGTCTTACTAGACCTCTATGTAGTCTTATTATGAAATAAGCTGAAAATAAAATGAATTTTTAATAAACTAAATTTATTAGACTAACCGATTATATAAAATAATAGTCTATATTTTCGAGAATTTTCCCATGAAATATATAAATTTTATTCAAAGTCAAAGTATTCAAAATGAAAAGTAGATAAACTCATATATTTAATGTGCGATTTGCAAATGAGAAATTCCATTAAATATTGATATAAATAAATATCTCAGATTAGATCCTTCGTAGTTTTTAATATCAATCTATCTATGATATATTTATCTCGTATTTCATACTTTATTCATAATTCATTACTGTTAGACTTTTATTTAACATGATTTATGGTATTATAAAGCAATGTATTTTCTAAGAAAACTAATAACAAACAAAAAAAAAAAAAATATTTCTTCACACATGATTTTATAAAAATTGACCTTTCCTCTAAATAGTTAACATTTTTATTAATGAAATTAAACTAAAACTTTTCTGTGCTGGCCTATTTTGCGACATTATATTTTGGTAATCATTAATATTGCCAATAGTAAAATTAGAATATTTCTGCTGAGTATTAAAATTTAAGCTTATAAGAGAAATTGAAGAATAAATATTTAATGCCATTAAACATTATCGAATGAACATGTGAACCATGTAAAATCTTTTAATTTTAAATTCTTTATGACATATATTTATTTAAATAAGTTCATTACTTTAGTCAAACAATTCGAATTAAATTTACTAATTAAATTCAGCTTACTAAACGAAATTTAGAAAAATAAATGTATTTTTTTAATTAAATACGAATTCAGAAAAAACATGTATAGAAAATATACTAAACAGTACATCCCATGCGATAAATACTTTTTATGCGATTCTTTCTTTTCGCAAATTTAATACTTTTTAATTAATTACTTTATAATTAATTTTAATTAATTAATATACTTTTTCTAATAATAAATTAGTTATTGTAATGTAATCTTCCATTTCACTAATGAACTTTAGAAAATAATAAATTATCTTGATTTAAAATTACAGCTATGCGTGCCCAGTAAACTTGCTAAACGAAACTGAATTTAAGTCCATTTTAACGTCTCAAAATTATAAATTTAACGTTTATAATCCGAAGACATCAAAAAACGTAACGTATAATTACACAATCGCGGAAAGCGACATGCCGGAGGTAACACTTACTTCGTAAAGTATTAATTATTTAATTCATTCGTTACGTCATGAGACTTTTTTGGTCATTTACAAGTTTGTTTTTTGTTTTTTTGTTTTTTGTTTTAATAGATATTTAAACGTCAAATGGATGCCAGGGAGGCTCGAAAATTGAAAAATTTAGAATTTTACAATTCTGCCATACGGCGATTTACAAAAAATGTTCTATTCTTTCCAGTACGTAATGCACAACTTTCTGAACTAGATTGTAATGTAGTAAATACAAAAAACAACGAAAATTTAATGGTCTGTGGATACGAGTCACTCTTATTAAAGGTAACCCATGAATATATATATATATATATATATATATATTTCTTTTTTACTTTTTAAATACGCGCTCATTAACATTTCAAATAATTATAATAATATAATATAGAGAAGTCGTTTCATGTATGCGCGTGCGTGTGTGTAAAGTCTAATGCTCGATACACGGTATTTATCATTAAAACATAAAACTTTCTATAAAATGGATCGTATTAACCTGTCTTTTAATTTAAAAAGTTCATTCGTATTTATAATCAAACACACATCATTCTTGGCTTATCGAAAGAAGCTGTTCACAAAATGCTGTAGGCGAGTTTCTATTCTCGTTCACATACAACAATTTCAAGTCGAAATTATGTATCGCAACGATTTATTAAACGAATTTCATCTACCGTAGGTTAAGCAACGTGTAATCAGTTTTAAAGCTGCATTGACGGCGATGAAAATGTCGGACGCGGATGTAGCGGAGAATCGGCTCAGGTACCTGGAGCACAATGTCAAATGGCCGGATCTAGGCAATAAATCTACGAGGTGCGCTACACGGGAGCACGATTCCGAGTTAGTGAGCGTTGAGGTCGAGCTCAGGAACGAGACAACCGAGGAACCCTACGACGTTTTCAGAACCGAAGGCTGCAGCAGAACCTGCATACTAACGACACTTAGGAAAGATATATGCACCAACAACAAGATGCAGGTCGAGTACAACGTAAAGCTGACTTTTTGGTCTTATCTCGTTGTTCGAGTATTTATCGGTAAGATATTGACACGTACATTATGATCGCTACTTCATTATGCAATAAGTAGTTGGAAAAATAAAGAAATTCATAATTTTCGACATTTTCTTCATAGAAATAAGAAAAATTAAAATTCTAAATTTTAGAAGACAGAATTTAATATGATTCATAATTTTAAGTGTAATTACAAACACGTTTTTCTATATAAAATCTAATTTCTCTTAGTCATGCGAATATTCATAATTCCTTGCACACTTAATGAATATCGAACTAACATATAGCAAGTGTAATACTTACCTATAGCACTTTATAATTATATGTAATGTGAAAATTTTGTACTTCGGGGACAGAGTTGTTATTGCTAAAGGAAATATTACGAGCTTTAAAAATAGGATGCTGTTGAAATTTGCACAATATTTCTGAAATTTTATTGAAATTTCAGGAACTTGAATAACAACATGACATCTAATATTGTAAAAATAATAATATCTTTTATATATTTAGTATAATTATTGTTCCTAATCATCATCAATTTGTACGATCACTTGTACTTACAACAATCTCATTAATTAACACTATAAAAATTAAACTTAATTTTATATTTTCAATAAATTAAGGAGTAATTTTACATTATATATAAAACGAGATCAATTTATTCAATGTATAAAATTTAAAATAAATACATTTTTAATAAAAGTATTGTTTATTCATCCGTAATTGAAATGAAGAATAGCTAATCAAATCATATTAGAAAAAGATTTACAAGACATTCTGATAAAAATGTTAATTAATAATTTAAGAAATATAATATCGTTCATAATATATATTTAAATTATATAAAATCACGATTTTAGCTATTAGTATTAATTTTTTTTCCATAATTGTATATTATTTCATCGTAATAATGTAAATTCATTATTAAATATTTAAAACGAATGAAATCTCAAAGTTAACAAGGCAATATATTTCTTACTTAGATCGTTTGTTACATAACTAATATCGAAATGATCGATTGACTTAAATTAGAATTGCTTACAGAGTTGATGAGTGCGCGAGTTAATGAGAGTACAGAAAAACACTTTTAATCATTATTTTCCTCGAAATTTTCATGGTTAATAAAATCGTTAATGCATTCATCATTTTTATAAAATCATGTGTGAAGAAATATTTTTTTTTTTTTTGTTTGTTATTAGTTTTCTTAGAAAATACATTGCTTTATAATACCATAAATCATGTTAAATAAAAGTCTAACAGTAATGAATTATGAATAAAGTATGAAATACGAGATAAATATATCATAGATAGATTGATATTAAAAACTACGAAGGATCTAATCTGGGATATTTATTTATATCAATATTATTTTATTGTTATAGAATGAATATTGAATTAATATAATATATTATCACTTAGGCAATGAATATATAAATCCATGGACATTTTAGGGATGATCGGAGGAACGGCGTTCGCCATGTTTGAGGGTGCGGTCATCGCGATACTTCGTGAGCATAAGGCTGATTATGGTTTGCAGAGAATTTATGGAAGTATTGGCGGAATGATATCTTCGCCTCTTTCCGGTATGTTGATCGACTATGCAAGTAACCTACAAGGATACCCGGATTTTAGGTATGTTTTACATATACCACGAATATAATTTTTCATGTAAAGATACAAGAAGAAAGAAAAAATGAAAACAAAAGATTATTTTTTTTCTAACCATACCGCATACTCTTACAAAAAGCGAATCAAAAATAAATAGATCGATAGACTATTATTATTATTATTATCATTATCATTA